CTAACTTTTATTTTCAAGGGATCCATTTCTCATCCAATATGTCCACGTTGTGGCTCACTACACCCCTCAACACTGTTACAGTCAGTGGCGCGACGTGCTTTATGATTATCGATTGACCTCCCATATTAATGTATGGAAAAAGATCGTTAGACAGGGTGTTTACACCTCAATAATCGATTCTTTACCATGGCTTCGAATGGAGAAATATCGATAATCGATTAATCACGCCTCACCACCGATTGCGGTGTGGTGAAGAATGGGGAAAAGATATGGAACCGGAGGGAAGCCTCGAAGGCATACAGCTATCACCGACTGGCCTGACCGTGGAGACAACGATGAAAGTAGGGGAAAGAGGAAAAGAGCAAGAAAATAAACGTGGGATTCCCAATCGCTGATAACTGATAAGTCGTGAATGTAGAGTCGGTGCGAGAGCTATTATTCAGTGGCCAGTATAGCGGTGCACTAAAGTGTATGACGGGTTACGGAAAACTATTTTTCGCAGGAATAACGATCCCGCTTGTACATCTTTAAGGCGCAACGACATATGAAACTTGTTGGTTACATTACAATTAGTCAAAACCTCGCCTTGGTCCAAGTTCCAGGAACTTATTCTTACACATCTCTCTCTCTCCCCCCCTCTCCCTCCCTCGCTCCCCCTCCCCCTCTCTCGCCCTCCCTCCCTCTCACTAAAAGAGTACATTGACTAACAAGGAGGGGGGGGGAGTTTTAATTCAAAAAAAAGAGAGAGTAAAGAGAACCTTAGTGCTGATCAATTTTGATACCTCGTAAATTTTCAATTGTTGTCATAGTGGGATTTTTACGTACAAAAATGTCAAAGCTGGGATCGATAGTTAAAGCAACCGGTTGAAATAAATCTTTTCGTTGATCCCTCTTCTATTAACACTCCCAGGCTTTGTGTCACCTCGGGGGATTGAGTTAAGGCAGGGATTTGAATGTTGGTGCTGCATCAATAATTCTTCCCTTAACATTATTTAATGTTAGAATAAAAGTTTGGCATTATCGATTTATAATTTAAGAAAGGCTGCTTAGGCTGCCATAATTTAAGATGATGAGCCTTTACATTTTTAGAACCTAACACTACTAAAAAAAGTTTTTTTTTTTTTTTTTTTTTTTTTTGAAAAAAATCTTGGGCGAAATAAAATTCATAGTCTAATTTAGACCTAAGAATGAAAAAAATAGATTTCTGTCAATCCACTTCTCACACTTTATCTTTCTTCACATTATCGTTAATTTCTTCAAACTTTAAGTTGATTGACTGGAAAAAAGGTTTGATGAATTAGGCCAAAAGGAAAACAACAGAAATAAGTAACAAAATATATTTAAAAGTGTTTTAGAGTTGACAATTCATGCAGTTGATACTGAGCAAACTTTGAGTGAGTAAAGTAATTTCTAAGTATACGTCCTTTTTTTTCCATAAAGAGTTTGATCGAAAATATACAGCTCATCAAACTCAACAAAGTAACCTAACAATATTTACAATTTTTCATATAAATAAACAGAAATTAGTAACAAAACGTATAAAATGAGTATTCTTGGGTTCACAATTCATCCGATTGATCCTTGGCAAATTTTTAGTAGAGACACATTGTTCTTTCTCTTGAGATTGAGAGTTCTATGAAGTGTCGTGCACACATCGACTAAGTTTAATGAGCCCTTAAATAAAAATACTGGTAAATCAAACAATTCTGATTAAAGTTAAGAGTTGAAAACGATGGGAGGTCTATCACTTTTTATAAAATTGAGACAGATCTGGAAGTAATTTAAGAAGCATTTGTTTTAGAGCACCTGCTAAAAATTAAGGCTTTTCCACGAGATAAAAATCTTTGTCTTCAACTCATAAGGCAAATAAGATTGTCAAATAGCTTAAAATACTTTTCAAATTTTAAGTGGAACATGAAGATGACTCCACAGCAAGCTGATGATCTGACTTAGAAATATTTAGTTTTCTTATCAGTCTTAAGATTTTGTACTTGTAAGAATAACACTTCGTTGAGTAAAACATGTTAATTTCCATTTTATATTACCTTCAGTAAGACATGCTTCAACTAATGGATGGATACTTGTGCACAGTTCACACCAATTAAGACATTTTCATCGTTAAGAGAACGAAAAGTTTTTATCTGACAATTTTTTACTTTTATAGGTACATAAGAAACTTGCCATTACAAGGTCAGATTGGATGAAACAATTGATGTAATACATTTTAGAAGTGTGGCAGGATTAACTAGAAAAACCCCGTAAGAGCATTAAAATCATTGTGACATATTGGAAAGTGAATCTCAGACTTCGATGAGCATCTTCGGACAGTGCCAGACTCACTTTTCTCAATGAAACAGAATTCAAGTACAATGAGGCTGCCGAACCTAACTTAATAAAATTATATGTCCCTGGGGTGATTATTATGATGGAAGGAATGCAAGTGAACTTCGATGACTTCAGGAACCATTCAGGCATTACAATTCATTCATTCAAGTCACTAAGTAGAAAACTCCGATTTTTGATAGAACAAAAAAATTAACTTATGGTAAAAAAAAAATTAAATGAAAATAAATTAGACAATGAAAGCATTGTTCCCCATTGCAAAAACACTTAAAATACTTAGAGGAAATGAGAGTATTTTATTCAGCAAATGAGCAAATTAAAAACAAAATTTTCAACTAACTAGGTTATGAAGGAACCACAATCAGGAATTTCACGAATAAATTCTGAATTGACTGAAAGTCTACAGAATCTTAATCGCAGATACTCTTTCCTTCAATGTCATAGGAGATTTTGTCCCTTGAATGCTAAAGCTATCGTTCAGTTTTAATACAGATTCACTGAGCATCTAATAGCAATAAAAACTGGAGTAAAATCTATTACTCAGGTGCCTAAAATAAATTGTATGATACAAAATTCTAAAACTCATAAAATAAAACAACTTTTTTCAATTCCATAAAATAAGAGATAAATAAATATAAATGCAAAATGATTGGCAGGTAACGATTACCGACAAAGAAGTGAGAAAAAGGCATGAAACAATGAACACATTAAACTGAGATAATAAAGACACACAAAAAGTATCACAACAGAGGTAAGGGTCCCCATCTCGCTGGTTAGGTCTGGTCACAAAGTTTGGCTATCGCTGAAACAAAGTCCCGAACGCAAGTTAAGTGCGGAATCTCGACGAGAATTTTCTACTCAGCAAACACAACCATGAAGATTCAGCATGCTTGAAAATGCAGTGCATTAGGTAGGAATTACAGGTCTAAAGAGCAGAAAATTTAAAAAAAAAACCACACCAGTCTACAATCTAGAATCTCACAATGCAGAAGTCAGTAGCCGTAAGTGCACATAATACACGAAACATCGATTAAACGCACCAAAAGGCGATTAAATATTCGATTCTACAGAAGGGAATGAAACTGAATTTTTAGAGGATTTTTCCCCCAAATGAGCCAAATCTGATGAGTGTATTTAATACTGTAATGAGGGTTTCATATGAAATAGAATCCTTCAAAAATAAAATTTTTGAACAAAAAAAAAATTATATAGAAAAAAAAAAAAAACAGTATGATACCTAAAGCCATACAAGTATACAATCAGTTTTCCTACATCTAATCTCACGTTGATTTATTTCATATTTTAGAGACTCCCATTATCCCACCTTGATAAAATGTATTTTAAGTTGACCCTTTCCCTCAGCCACATCTACTAAAATTTTTGAGCTACTCAGTTATACTATACCTCAGATTGTCCGAACTAACTTTTGGGAGGGCTGATGTTTTCCCCTGTTTTTCGTATTTTCTCTCGGCAGGAAAGACAAGCCCCTTGCTATAAATTCTTCCTATTTATTACGTATTTGATTTCCTAATAAATGGTATTCATATTTTCACTCTCACACACCTACTGACCTTTAAAAAATTTATTTTAACATTTTACTTTAAATTTGTGCTTATTTTACCACATTTTACAGATGCAGTATCAAACGAGGCCAGTCATTGGTGACCTCTGAATTATTCAAACTTTCCATCATCGGAATCAGCCAACCTCCATGACGTACAGTGTGCTTTTAGAAGCTCAAAACGCAGGCTTGATCTTAGAAGCAAATGGGCGAAAGCATGGAAAGAAAAAAAGCCAAGAGCTTAAGTTCCAGAGGAAAAATTAGAGGAGTATTGCTCGAGATTTCAAATTTATTGCGGATTTTTGGTACAACTATATACAACTTAAATGAAAGCTCTTTTGATTCCATGCGTTACAGGATTGCGGTGAGGAGGAGGTATAAGGGAGATGGGTGCATGGTTTTTCAATGCTGACATCAGAAGCTTTGGAATCAGCGATATTTATGGTTGAGGAAAAACTTTTCAGATCCATTTGCTTAGTTTTTGAGGAATCTGGGGAGTTTGATGGGACGCAAGCTTCACAATAGACGATCTTGGAGAAGGTATAGGGTGGGATAACAGGGCATTCTCTGAAATAGGGGAGATACTAGTTGAAATAATTCTTACCATGCATGTGGAATTGTGGAGCAATACACACTATGATTCAGAAAATTAGCGGTGAGAAACTTGTGACAAAATGTCTTGATTCGCAGGAATGGAGGTTCAATTTCGGTCCCCCCCCCCCCCCNATTTTCGTCCACCCTTGACATTTTCGTAGAAGTAATCCCTCGTCTAACATGCTATTAGTGGAAAATAAACACTTCGTAATCTTCAGCCTCAATGAAGGTATGAATGAGTTTTCCAAAGATTTTTTACAGCACCAACTGGTTGCATTGCAAATTTTAAAACAACACAAGGGCATTATTTTGATCAACGGTTGACTCATCACAGTTCAAAAAACTGTCATTTGTAATATTAAAGTTGTTGTCGGATTTATTTTTATCAGATTAATTGGATTCAATAGATTTATCATCAAGTTGATCAACTTCCAAAATATTACTTTTATATTGGTTTTAATTTTTAATGATACCATATTTTACCCGTTAAGTGCATACCCAACATAAAATAAGCAACCAAAAATAAGATAATTGAATTAAAACCAGCTCCTTTTAAAAATGGGCAGTTTCGATTAGTAATCCTGATGTAAAAAAAAAATCAAGTGAAAATTGATTTAAAAAAAATTCAGCATTTTTACAGCCACCTAATTTAGGTTGAATTTCACTCACTTCGAAGACGAGGACTGAAACCAAGATTCCGTAACCTAGCGGTAAAAGATCAAAATCATTTATACAAAAAAGGCCTTTCAAGACAAAATGTTAAAATAAGTTCACAACTTGCTTCTTATCTCTCTGCTTACTAATGTACCACCTACGTACTTCGAAAATTCTCTTTTTTATGTCGCTCAACAAGATTTCTAACTTTAATTTTGAGGGGCTGAATTATATAAATAACTATTTTAAAGAAGATAGATTCGAAAGATTGAATAAGTGGTAATTAGAAACTAAAAATTCGAGGTTGATTTGATCTCAATTAGAATCACTATATTTACCACCAATGATCGTACATGTACAACATGTTCCGATATCTACAGGAAAGAACTACTATAATGCAAATACACGGAACCACTAAGATAAAAAACCGTCACACTTAGAAAGATAGGATTTCAATGAGAAAAAAGAATGGAAAAGACAGAGGTCAAAGTCCAAAGATTTTCCAAAAAAAGACAGAGTGCGATATACTGAAGATATGATTATATCTCTTCGGTTCTGGAAAAATATATATGGAAGGATATCCCTGACACTAAAGCAGTGACAAAAAGCCTAAAATAAGTGAAAAGAGCCTCTGAGGAGGGGCTACTGTTAAATTGTGTGGAACTTATAGGCAGAGGAACTTCATATGAGGTTTTGGTAGAAACTTGCGAGCTTTGCTTTGTGGAGATTTTATTCGTCATATCCATTTCTTGAGCGATGAGATATTTTATTATGCAAAATCGACCTCATCTCCTGGACATGTATTCAGTTAAATAATAGATTATTTCCTTTCTTGCCCAGCACCAGTATTTCCTGTGGCTGTGCCATGATGAGAGGGGCGAGGTAAAATTAATCAATTGGAATTAATCTCTGGATTGCCAATACTGCTTATTAAAATTGATGAAAATTTAGACCTTAAAAAATGAATCAAAGAGAAATCAATTAAAAGGAGGACAGAGAAAGGAGAGGTAAAATATGAATTTCTTACCTTCTAGCCTCATCGGATCGGGTCTGCTCATATCTGGCACTGATCATTTCTCTACGCAACTGGGAAATTTCTTGATTATTGTCAGCTGATTCTTTTTCTATCCTTTCTAATTCAGTTGATTTCATTCTTCTGCGGGTAATCAAGAAAAAAAGGGGGAAAATTAAGAAAGATGAAATGATAGAATCATGAATATTGTGACAATGAAACTGTCGAAAGTGTCAAAAACAAATGGATGGAGTAAATATTAATTTAGGTTTTCTCATAAGCGTAGTCTGACTATCATTAAATTTTCAAACGGCCAAAACTGCTTATAGATCTTTCCAAAGAGTTCAGAATAATGGCAGGGGGGGAGGGGGCGCTTCTCAAAGACTTCCTATTGGTTCCTTTTTTTTAAAAAGACTGTCTCAACAAAAAATCCACTGACAGATATTTTCCTGTGAAATCAAAATTAAATACTACTTCAGGCCAGAGAATTTGACAATTTTTGGTTTGTCTGGCATTTTGCAGGTAAAAAATCTTGCACGATTTATGACTTTACGACATAGCACCATCAGAAAAACACTTAAAATCTGCTGCTCTGCGCAAGTATCAGCTAATAATCAAGCACTTTTGGCTGGTTATAGTGAGCAACAGACATGTTAGAACAGTTATGAAAAGTCCCATTAAGTCAATGAATCACTTAAATAGTCTACAAATTAATTATTTTCCTAATTATATTCAATTAATTATATGTGACGAATAAGAGTTCATTGACTCTGTACCTCTTAATCTTCAATTAGTGGAGTTAAAGTGATTAATACTTACAACTGGGCTTCTAACTGATTTAACTGTTCAGTCAAAGCGGCAACTTCATGCTTCAGCTTGTCATTCACTTCAACTTCCATTGATAACTCCTTCTCATAACTTGAAATCTGATCATGCATTGCTTGCATATCTCGATTCGACTCTCGATATTTCTTCGATATGTCATTCATACTTTCTTTCAGGACTGCTATTTCAGCTTCCATCTTAAAATCACAGAGGAAACAGATGCTTTATTCTTAAAAGATTCTAAAAGGCTAGAAATAAAAATTTAAAAAAAAAGAGAAAAAAAGGTGAAAAATGAGATAGTGACAGGGGTGCAGAATCTTTCAAGCTTCCACATTTCAAGCTCCTGAACGCGGGTTTTCCACATTTTTTTTCATCAGTTTTCCACAGAATTTCCCACCAATTTAAAAGAAGATGACCTTCTTCCCTGTTTTTCTTTGACTTTTGACTGATGACCCTTCAAAATTTCCTCTCCTTCCACATTTTGGGGGCTTTCCCACATTTTTAAGCGCCCGCCCAGGCGTGTGATTGGGCATTTTCTGCACCCCTGGATAGTAAATACATTATAGCCTTTATTTTCAATAGAAATCATTTTTTCTTTATTCTTGACACTTTCTTGTACACTAAAAATTTATTTGTCACTGTATTTGAAGCTGCTGATTGAGACTCTCTTAACTCAAGAGAGGTTTAGGCAGAGTACAACATTGAAAACCACTAAGTTAATCTGGTGACTTACCGCAGTCTTATGTGCAGTCAAGGCATTCATCTGCTCCAGTAAATGATCATTCTTCGATAGGACGGTTGTTGATAGGTCTCGACTGGCATATAGATCATTCTCCATTTTTGACTTCTCTTCCCTCAGAGATGAAGTTTCCATTTCTAAGTGCGACAGCTGGAACCTTAGTTCATTTAACTGAAACATTAGATTGATTCAAACATTGGTATGAGGCAAAAAAAAAAAAAAGTAGAAAAAAGGAGCCAGAGGGGCATTGATGCTTTCGAATCTAATCTTGAAGATCCACAAAAGTAACAAAAAAAAGAAAAAAAAGAAAGAAAGAAAGAAAAAAAAACCGTTTCACTGGAGGGATTATGTTTCTTAATAACTAGTTTCAAACTTTGACTGATAATTCATTCAAATTTTCAAACATTAAACCATAAATGTTGAATGTTGAATAATATTTCAGCCACAATCACGACAATTTAAAGCTTTGAAATTTTTTTTTCAAAAACTATGTTATTTGAATACTGCTTCATACCGTCAAAACTCGGGTTCAGTTTGACAATGGTGGGCGATTTTGTGTCAAACGTTCATAAAACGCTTCTTTAAAAGTGCTTCCAATGACTCAATTTTTAGTTTCTAGGAGATAAGGTCCCTAACGATCCCCAAGGACTGTCACAAATGGAGATTACTTACAAGTTGTAGAGTGCTTACGAGTAAAACCTAAAAAGGATAATGGCAGAGGCTTAAATAACAAACCTCTTCGTGATATGTTTTGATTTTCCGCTCTTTGTCTTCAATAAATCTCTGTAACTCTTCAACCTTAGACTCAGCTTCGCGTAAAGAAGATTGCGTTGATTTGGCTTCAGATTCTACAAGCAAATTGGTTTGTTCCAGCGCTGCTGTTTCTTCACTCAGATTGCGAAACTGCTCCAACATTTCAAGCCTTTCATGATCCTTAAATTGAAAATCAATAAACACACCAATTAGTTTTTCTTAAAATATCATTTAGAAGTTTTTAATGAAGAAATAAGGGGCAAAGAACAAATGTGAGAAGGAAAAAATAATCCTCAATAGCCTTCAAATTTAAGCCTATGTTGTTTGGAATGAGCTTGCGAGTCCTTACGATTTTCATTGAATTGAGAACAGGGAGAGAAAAAAAAATTGTGCAAAATGTAAATATTTTTACCTAAAAATCATTTCAAGCCAATAAAAGAAGATGGTGTTCACCTGTGAAAAGTGATCAGCTATATAAAAACAGTGACACGCCTCAGGACTTGCGTTATAAAACCTGCATTTAAGAGGGATGAATAAAAAATGGAATACTAACAAATAATTTATTGTCTTAAAGATATGGTCTAAATTTTGTAAACAGCAGTTCAAACTATAGCTCTGATGAAGAGAATTTTGGGTTTTAGAACAAATAGTATACTTTCAAAAAGTGGAATTATTTGTGAAACAAATACCTTGCGCGCTAGTTCATCTTCGTATCGCTTAACACAGTCGACGTAAGACTGAAGCTGCTGCTTTAAATCCTGAACTTCCCTCTTACTCCTTTCAAGCTCTGATCTCATGGATGTATATTCTCTGGTGATGGTGGTCAGATCGTTCATTATTCGCCTGTTAAAATAATACAAAATGATTGTTCGACAGAAAATGAAGTCAACTTTTCTAGTATTGACAAAGTTCTGAGATGCTTACAGCAGTTAGAGTGATCAAGACAGTTGACCTCCTTCAATTTCACCGACTGACTTCCGTGAATTTAGCGTAGTATCGCGTGTTGCCTACTTTCAGGCTAATGATGGAGCAGTCTCTGCATAATGCAGGTGGTCATTTTATCTACTTCATGTCTGACATGAGAAGCGTTTGTTTAAATTTAAAGACATCCCTAAAAGACTGCAGTGCCTACCAAATATTTTTCAAATGGCAAAAAAATGCAAAAAAAAATTGTTGGACTTTTACAAATAAAGGAGAGTAATAAACTATCTCAAGTGACTGATTTATTCCGAATCACAATATATCATCACAATATATAATTCCGTAAGCCCGATCCTACGGGTTAAAATTCCGGGGGGACCGCCAGGCCGATCCGGGCGCGGGTGGTACCGGCTCGTCCGTCCCTGTCCCCCGCTGGCCGGAAAAATAGAGGGATCGCACAGCGGACCCTGCGCCTCTTACACCCTTACAGAGACATCGGTTATCCCGTTCGTCCCATCGGGAGATGCGCGATTTTTTTCTTTATTTCCGGGCGCTTTTTTCGGCCAGCTGATAATTCGGCTGCCCGAGGCGTTTGTCGTCATGGAAATCGCCGTGGATGATGAATTTACGGTGGAAGCGTACTTCAAAATTTTACGTAAATTAACTATATTCACACGACGCGAAGTTCGAAGATCAACTTTTGAATGAGATAAAAACAAATCGATGACCAAAGTGCGAAGCCACGTATCTCCTTTTGCGACGTTGCTGAAGCAGACTTCCTGCCATACTCAATGTAATTCATTTAAAACTATCTTAATTTTTCTTCTCCGTTGTTGGCAAATATTCTTTACATATTTCAAACAAAGTTAACTTCTTTCTCATTAAAAAAAATTGAAAAAAATAAGCAGATAAAAAGCAGGAAAATTTCCGCAATACTTCGATTCTAGGATTGCAGGCTCACGATGTGAACACTGATAGAAACGAGGATATAGATCACTCAACGTCGAGCTCGAGGGATCGAAATCCTAACCCTAGATTAACCCCTGACCATGATAATAACGTTTTTTTCTGAATTGAACCATTACGCTCATAGGAGTAAGAATAATTTACTTGATTAAAATTGCACGCCAAACGTCACTATGACAGTCTCAGTCGAGACAACCTAAATCTTGACGCTTAGCTCAACCTGTACACACTTTGAACAACACAGCTGATTAGTCTGCTAAATCCGATGTAGCGTGCATTCGACTCGCGCGGGCTTTGTTTTTCCTCTGACCGGGCAATTCAAAGTTCACGTAACCAATGGACAATAAAATGTTAATATCTTAACTAGAAGTTGATTTCAGTAGTTTTCGTTGCGCAAATCGTATTCTGCATGAAATTCTGGTAAAGAATCATGTATCAAAGTGCTTAAATTCGTGCCTTGTTCAATGGTTCATTCAATCTAAAAAAGCGAACATAGATAACTTTCCTAGCGTTTCTCAGAAAAAAAAAAAAATTTATCGGGAGAAACGAGCCAACGTTGGAATGCTCATACGGCGTCTAAACACAACGCGAGTTCGAATAATCGCGCCAAACACGGTGCGGTCGGCGTCTAACTCGTATCAGCGCCTGCAGGACTGCCGGAATACTTCATGCATCGCGCCAAACAGTACGGTCGGCGTCGAGCGCATATCAGCGCCTACAAGACTGCACGAATACTTCTCGCATTGCACCAAACACAATGCGAGAGTTATTTGCGATGACTATTCGACAACGGGTACAGGTACATTGCTGCTAGCTGGATGGAAGGCGCATCACACTGTGAATATGACTCTTCACTCGACTTACTTGTTTTCGCTGAGGAGATTTTCCTTCGAAGTTTCCAGTTCTCTGATTTGCTTGTGAAGATTTTCTAGCTCATTGTGCGCGCGTCGGACGCTCTCTTCCGTCTTCGAACTGTCGTTCAGGGCCAAACTGCAACAATCAACAAATTAAATTAGATTTTGATGAGCGTTTAGATAGTCGATAAAAGCATTCCATTTTCAGATGACACTATATATCGACACGAGCTGCGGGTTTAAGAATAATAAAATATATTGACAGTGGTCGCATTGCAGTACTATTTGAAAGAAATTAAAACAAAGGGCAGAAAGTATTCTTTTTGGTTTTGTTGTGACATGAGAGAAGACGAAATTTGTGAGGAGATCTGTAAAATGAATTTTCCGTCAAATTTAGAAAAATAGGTTTAATTAGGTACGGAGGAAATTTCGAAGATTAAAACTAGAATATAGTGGTTTGAAAAGAGATTATCGAAGGTTTCCCGAGAGAAAAATGCTGAGATAGCCGCGCTCTGCTTCAGGTCCATTCCGCGGTAATCTGAGGTTTGGGGTAGTTCTGATCTGAAAAGTCGCGTCTGACCCGGCAAATGGTTTCCTAAGTAACGCCTAATGCTTACTTCGGATTTTCGAGAGAAAAGAAGAGAAAAAAATCTGAGAAATTGGTCGAAAAGCACATTCATAAGTCACGACCCTCGAGAATTACAAAGCCTCAGTCATTTCTCTCGGGTCGCATTCGTAAACGACTGCATCATACGTCATTCGTACACCTCTACATTGTTGATTTCCGAATGATTAAGGGATTAACTGCAGGGATCAAACTGTGAAAAGGGTACTCAGAACGTCGTGCTGTAATTGTACTTTATCAAAAAGTACGGATATATTTGCATCGGGCTTTTTCGGGAAAAAAACTAGTGCTCAGTTTTCTTGACAGTTTCATTTGAAACATGGAATTTACAAAATTTCAGAAACCTGCAAATTCTGCATTATTGCGATTTCGAATACTTCGAAACGAAAATTCGAATATTTCCGATTATTGCTCCGATTTTTTTTTTTTTTTTTTTTTTTTTTTTTTTTTTTTTTTTTTTTTTTTTTTCCAAGTGGTGCTCCGCAAATATAACAGGGTGGTGGAGCAAAGCTTGCACAGGGCTCTATTTTTCGCACTTTTAGGAAAGTATTTCCACACGATGGACTTTTTTCAAACCTTACTGGTAGTAATTTGGACTCCAGAGCATGTAGGTCTGTGCTGAATGGTCTATTCTACATGTCTAGAGGGGAATTATTTAACCTCGTAATTTCGAACTGTATGAGGGAAAGTAATAGAAAATCACAGGTTTACCTTTTCGAAAATTAATCGAATAATAATCGAATATTCGAATACTTTCACAAACATTCGATTGTGATGCGATTATCTTGGTGCCAATATTTCGAAAATCGAATATTCGATTATTGAAATATTCGACCATCGTGTCTACTAAAAGAAGGCTGGCCAAAAATCAGTACTTTAACGGTACTTTTTCAGTACATTCCCAAGAAATTCAGTGCCTCCTCAACAGAAAAATGCAGTACTTTTTAAGTACCTTCATTTGACGAAATTCCAAAAATTTCGGAAATTTGAATTTCTCGCTCAAATTGCGACAAAAATGACAAAAATTCCGAACTTTCTTGCAAAATTTCCGCACTTTTTCAGTACTTCCGAAAATTCCAAACTTGTAGATACCCTGCTAGTTTTTTCCAACTTTAACAGAACAGATGGCTCCGTAACGCAATGACGTCATAAATAAACTCGTTCACTAACGCACTCGTTTGATTTAATGACGTGCTCGAAACGATAGCCGCAGCGGGACGCCGATTGCTGCGCTCCGCACGGGGAAAGCCGCCGTTTTTGGGTACAAGGACCGCGCAACGACGCGTACGGCGGGTCAGCGGGGGCACCGATCGATCACCCTTCCTTTCCCGGGAGTTCAGGGTCCCGCGCATCCGGCTGGTGCCGGTACCGGCGAGGGATTTTCCCGCCGGGTTCCGGACCGCGCATGCGCACTCGCTTGCGCAAGTCCAATTGCGCGCGGCTCGGATCCGGCCGCCGTTCAAGGTCGCGCCTCCTCCCGCGTCCCGAAAACGACCGCGCTGCGCCTGCGTTTGAGTCTCCCCGCGGGAAACGATAGTGCATCCGGGACTTGATGGACTTAGCTTTCGGGAATGAGCTACGAGAAGTGAGTTCCCGAGTTGAGTCATTGGGCGACGTTGCCTTATTCCTGGAAACATCAAATCCGATAGGAGGAGAACTAGGGTTTGAGAGCCCCACAATTTCTGGACCAGGCTCAAGAATTAATGTGGGAGCGAGGGAAGCTATTCCGTCGTTTCCCTTACGAAGGATTGTAAAAACATAAAATGCTACCTTTTCCCTCGCAAATTGCATTTTTACCAGGGTAATCTTGGACATTTCTGACTTAAAATTTACGGATTTTCCCCCTGATCTTATGCAGAAAACAGAAAAATCTTGGACAAAAATTTCAGAGAAAACCAATGACCGTGTTTTCCGCGACGTTTCACGAAGGGTTAACAGTCAAATGGACGTATTCATGCGAATAGAAACTAGGAGAAAATTAATGAAAACAAAAGGAACTATGTGCACTGTGTTCGCGTGCTCGATAGTTCACTTTGATTTTATTAATTGGCACATAGTTCCTTTTAGCATGAATATGCCCAAATTGATGTCTTATCGAAGTCGTTCTCAAACTTGTCGCTCCAATAAATCCGACCCATCTCACAGGGGCGGGTTTACTCAGTGGCGTGGCGTGCTTCACAATATATCGATTGATCTGCCATTTAGACCTATGGAAAAGGATCGATGAACAGGGCGTTCGCAACGAACACCTTAATAATCGATTCCTCACCATAGCTTCAAATGGGGAAATATCTATTGACGATCATTCACGCTTTACCACTGGGCCACGTCTAGTCCATTAGAAGGACCCGCGCGCGGCGTCCGCTGGCCGGGAGTCCCCCCCCCCCCCCCCCNGGGGGGGGGGGGGGGGGGCGATGTACAAACGCGGGTTCGTAGGTTAATGGTCAAACGATGAAGCATTAACCGCGCCAGAGCCGCGATTCCACCGGTCATCGGTGACTAGCAGTTGCCCAACTTGCTCGCACCCGGCGACGCCGACTTCCGCGTACCGATCCGCGGGTCGTAATACTGCGACCGTTACCCCGTCGGAGAACAACACCGTAAAATCATTAGAACGTCGCCGAATTTCCTCGGACACGGAGAAAAAAACTTCGTGCGTGGGACCCGAAGTTTAGGTCATACGGATCTCTGAAGTTTTCGGATTGAGCATCTGAACACGCTTCAGGTCCACCTGCTGAGGTTTGGATCACACATCTGAATCTTCAGTTCTTACGCCTGAAGTACTTCGGTTTTCACATCCGAAAAACTTCGGTTCTCACATCCGAAAAACTTCGGTTCTCACATCTGAAGTACTTCAGATGTAAGAACTGAAGTTTCAGATGTTTGATCCGAACCTCGACAGCTAGACCTAAAGTGTTCAGATGCTCAATCCGAAAACTTCAGAGATCCATATTGTGGTGGTTTCCAGGATCTTTCAGCGAAAGATTCTGGAAACCCCATCAAACACCCTCCAACCAACCTCGGTGGAAAGCTCCGCTGCGTCGTGGGTGGTATGCTCGGGCGACGAACGGCAAGCCAGAGGCAGGCTGAAAGTGGGTCGCGCGGGCATTACACCTGTGCAAATGCTGAGGATTGCATGATGTGACTTGTCCTTACATCGAATTCAGCGGAAAGAATGCCCGGTCGTGGTCGTCTTCAGTCCGAAAAAGTGACGATTGTTCGGCCAAAATTGCTGACCGATCAATCGTCGAGTTTTCCGGCTTAGAGTGCGGCCACGACCCCGGGGAAGCTTTCTGAGGTAGTTGCGTTTTGGACCCGGGTGGAGCAAGGTGTTGATCATTGCTGAAGTCGTGCTGTTTGGCTGTTTTCACCCCCTCGCAACCCCTACAATATGACCTAAACTTCAGGTCCCACGCACGAGGTTTTTTTCTCCGTGGACAAGACATTTATTCCACAGGAAAATCATGATGAATCTCCCCCGACATTTCCAGATACGCTTGGGTTTACAAGTAAAACTTCATGAAAAATTCGAAAGAAAATATCGACAAGCTTTGGAGAGGATTCGTATTTTAAAGAGGGGAACTTGGCAACGTCTGATTGTTTATGCGGCACGGCTTGTTGCTCGCGCCTCCGCCTTGATGGCCGCCGCACAGTGGATCGAGTCGATCAGAGAGGTCGGCCATGAAATTTTCGACTAAAACTGCAAATTTTAGTGTTTATTTCGTCACATTTTACATTTCAAGGGATGCTTAAGGTAGAAAATTTCACGAGAAAACCAACAAAACCACTTTCAAAACCTCAAAGTTTCGAATAAAAGGAATTATAAGCGTTTAAAGTTTCCAAATTTTGTCCGACCTTCCCCACTGACTTGATCCAATGTGCGGCGATCGTAAATCCGCGTCGCGGTTGGACTTAATCGAAATTGACGGGGTGGCCGCTTTAATTAGGACCCGATCGCCACCTCTTTAACGCCCGGACTGCTCATTTGAAGCGCCACTTCGTATAACCGATAAAAAGAACAGCTCGCTCCTGGAGAGAATGGCTTCTGGTTAAGTAAGGAAAAAGAAACCAGTGGGCCGATTATTGATCTTAATAGACAAAGCTATAGACATAGAGGACATATGGAGTGTGGAGCAATCCTATGGTTAAGATGGGTAGTTCCTATAGACAAAGGGTGAAAAAGATGGGCTAACTTTAGGGTTTTTACGTTGCAGTTCGTTAGTCTATGACCATCTCCTTTGTCCATTGCAACCACCCGCTTCCACTAACAGGATCCTTCCGTATCCCTTTTGTCTTATTTGTCTATGGCTTTGTCTAACAATTGCAATTATCGGCCCGCTAGTTTCTCTTTCCTTCCTTGACTAGGAGCCCTTCTTTCCAGGAGAGAGTTGCTCTTTAGACTTTACATTAAATGGGCGGTTGGACGTAATCGAAATTGACGGGGTGGCCGATTTAATTAGGACCTGCAGGCCGATTATTGAAACTGACAGATAATGCTATATAGTACATAC